CCCTTCGTTGCAAAATACAATGGAGAATATTAATAAAGCTGTGATCAAAATGCAGCTTAAGATAACATGATGATCAACTTTTTCTTTAGTTTGTTTAGATTTGTTCATTTATTCGTAATGTTAAAAGAACATTTGGTTAGATAGATCAACAACTTCAACAATACTTTTCTACCTTCAAAATTTTTTTTATATTTAAAAATTGTTGAACTTTACTTAAATGAATTCTTCAATATTAGAATGTTGACGTAATTATATATTAAACCACGAAATATACTCCTACTTTACACCGCACATAAATCTCCAAAATTGCTGGCATTTGGTGTCGAAAGAAAAAAAAAGATAAGTGGCTTAAGTCGAAAGATTAAAATGAATTAAACTATACGAAACAACGTTAAGATCAATATATGTTTTATCCAAATTATATTTTAGTTCGTATATAAATTTACCAAATTACATAATTGGGATATGAATATGCACATTTCTATTAATTCAGATCTCGTAACCGAGGTAAAACAAAATGATAAAAAGTTGGGTTGATTCTATCGATTATAAGAGATGGGGTACATTTTAAAGTATAAAACAAGTCGAGGGAGTAAATTGAAATAATAAGAAAAACGCTTCTGCCTTGTTCGAAAGTTTATTGTGTGTCCTCGTGAACAAAATCTCAATCTCTCCCATTTAATCGCAAACTTAATTTTTGCGATTTTCTTTTTCTCTCTTCCTCGCTGGTTGGCTTATTTATTTTTCCCCTTTTTAAAAAAAAAAACTTCCACAACTTGTCTTGAAATCTGGGCGTGAAAATTCGTAATTAGTTTCTGTAAATCTCGGAACAATTTCTGGGTTTTCTTCTACACTTCGCTGTGTTTAAAGCTTGGTGGTGATTGATTTTTGGGAGGCATTTCCATGGTGATTGCTGCAGCTGTAATTGTGCCTTTAGGCTTATTGTTCTTCATATCGGGTCTCGTTGTAAATCTGGTTCAGGTGGGTTTTCTAAATTTCGAAACTTTCTATGTTTTTTTTTTCCATGTCTGATTCGTTTTCTTGTGTTACTCGTTTTAGATTCCGTTGATGTTCTGCATTGTAGATCCTCTCTTTTTCTCTTTACCATATCCCGAATTGATTCACTTGCTTTTAGGGTTTTCATTCGCCGAATAGTTTCTTCATATTTGTCGGTGTTGTTCAAATTTGAGAGTGTGTGAGTGTGTGAGAGAGAAAGAGTGAGACTTTACATATGGGTCTGAGCTCAAAATCCATTCTTGTAGCTTCATGCACTGAGCAGAAGAGTGTTGTTTAAATTTTGCGGTTTTAAGTATCAATTCCTTCAGATTTGCCCCCGTCCTTTTCAACTTATTAACCTCAACAGTTTCTATAGGCTTTGGGATTAAGGAAAGAATCTTCATGTTGAAGTGTCAAAGAGCCTTTTTCACTGAGCTTTGTTTTGCTTCAAATTTGATGTTTACGACTTTGTTGTTTCAGGCACTTTGCTATGTCCTTATTCGACCTCTGTCTAAGAGCACATACAGAAAAATCAACCGTGTGGTTGCAGAAACCTTGTGGTTGGAGCTTGTCTGGATCGTAGACTGGTGGGCAGGAGTAAAGGTATCCACAATCTTTGTCCTTTTTAGTAAGATGGTACATAAGTTACAGAACAGATAGGGACCATCCGTTTTCACTCAATTAGTGTACACATGACCATTTGTAGATTTTGTTTATCTTATTCAAGTTAATGAATTCCTCTGAAATTTCTTCTTTCTTTTTCCCTAGATCCAAGTCTTTGCTGATAATGAGACTTTCAATCGAATGGGTAAGTTCCTGCTTATTGGGAATCAAAATATAATGTCCTATATATGAATGAATCTGTAACTTCAGT